ATGAGATAGGACATCTATACAACAGGATGTCTGTTGCCATACATCTGTGCTGGGAAAGGAAAATCCAAAAATGGGAACAGGATATCTGTTGCCATACATCTGTGCTGGGAAAGGAAAAACCACTTATGCCCCTTGCCTCATTCCAACCGACCACTAACCACGCATCTGCTTCTGTAATCTGCTTTTGCCGCCCTCTTTCCTATAAAAACACCTCCTCCCAGTCTGCAGGTGCGCAAGTCCTTCGAAAGACTTTGCCGCCCGCAGGTACCTGTGTTTACTCAATAAACCTCTTGCTAATTGCATCCTGTGGTCTGGTCTCGGAGTGTCCTGGTACTGGGGTCTTCATCAGAGAGGAAAGGTCCTCTCTGAGGGTCTTTCACTAGCTGTAGTGTGCCACCTTCCAAGTGCTGGAACTACAGGTTTTATGTGGTGCTGGGGGTGGAACCCAGGACTCTGTGCACGATGAGCAGGCACTTTACCAACTAAGCTGTACTACCCACCCCAGATATCTTTCTTGAATTAATTTTTCGTGGGGGGAGGGGGGCATGTTGAAACAGGGTATTGCTATGTAGTACTGGCTGGCCTTGAACTCAGCAATTCCCCTGCTTCAGCTTCCAAAGAGCTAGCACAACAGTTGTGCATTACCCCTTCCAGCTAGCTAAGTGTACCCAACTGCTTAGGCCTTAGTCCAAAGGGCTCTTCACACTGTCTACTTAAATAAGACTGAAAACTTCGGGGCTGGAGAGATGGCTCGGCGGTTAAGAGCATTGCCTGCTCTTCCAAAGGTCCTGAGTTCAATTCCCAGCAACCACATGGTGGCTCACAACCATCTGTAATGAGGTCTGGTGCCCCCTTCTGGCCTGCAGGCATATATTGTATACATAATAAATAGATATTTAAAAAAAAAAAAAAGATTGAAAACTTCAAGACAGGCATAGTGGCACATGCCTTTTAACCCCAACACTCAGGAGGCAGCAAGCAGGGCAATTTCTGTGAGTTCAAGGCCAGCCTGGTCTATATAGTAAGTTTCAAGACAAACAGGGCTAAAGAGAACTTGTTTTTTCTTTTTTTAAAAAAAATAAAAGCCATTTTTTTCAACTTTTTTTTTTGGTGGGGGGGGTCTACTTATGTAGCCCAGGCTGGCCTTAACTTGGTGACTCATCCTTCTTCCAGCTCTTGAGCAGTGTTGTCGATGCTCTTCACACTGTCTCTTCTGAAAACAGTGTGCACTAATCGTCTCTCCTGGCATTTTACATATAAAATGCCCTCTAAAGCCTCAGGTGGTGGTGGCGCACACTGTTGATCCCAAGGCTTGGGAGACAGAGGTAGGCAGATCTCTGAGATAGAGGTCAGCCTGGTCTACATCTACATAGGGAGTTCCATGATAGCCAGGACTATACAAAGAAACCCTGTCTTGAAAAGCCCAAAAACAAAACAAAACAAATTTTTTAAAGCCCAGCTAGCCGGGCAGTGGTGGCGCACGCCTTTAATCCCAGCACTCGGGAAGCAGAGGCAGGCAGATCTCTGTGAGTTCGATGCCAGCCTGATCTACAAGAGCTAGTTCCAGGACAGCCAGGGCTACACAGAGAAACCCTGTCTCAAAAAAAAAAAAAAGAAAAGAAAAAAAAAGAAGAAAGCCCAGCTTCTTCACACTCCATTTCAGACACCCCACCACTTCATTTTCCCAGGCTGAGATAAAGAACACAGAAACAAGCCAAGTATGGTGGTAGAGGCCTGTAATGCTAGCACTCAGACACAGAGGCTGCAAGATCAGGGCCAACCTAGGCTACACGGAGAAACCCGGTCTCAAAAGGAGGTGGGTAGACAATCGTGAAATGGCTAGCTGACTACCTGGAGTTTCATCCCATGAGGGAGATGAGATGCCACTCCTCAAAGTTGTCCTCTGTCATGCCCGCAAGCTCCATCACTCCCTTGACCATACCTAGACAAACATCGTCTACGTGATACGTAATCCCATCAGTGCACAATGAATGAGTGTAAAGATTTACACGCACGCGTGTTAAGGGAACGACCGCTTGCCTGTCACAAGGACATCTTTGGGAATTAATCTCATTTACCAAGAGGCCCCGCCAACCTAGGTCTGAACCCCAACTGGGCTCTCAGGATTTATGACCTTGAACAGGTCACTTCGACTTCAGTACGCGTGTTCAATTCGTGTGTTACGAATCTCACAGCGGCGTCGGGAACCATCCCAGGCAAGTGCTGGGGCTGAACCTTAATTTGAACCTCAGCTCTGGGAAGGCCCGGCGCTGCGGTGCGTAAAAGTTCAAGTACCCCCCCGTCCGTCAGTGTCGTGGGAGAAAAAAGCAGCAGCTTAGTCCTCAGGGGAGGGGGGCCAAACAAACAGTTCCCGGCAGCGCCTGTGCAGGCCCGGAGAGGCTTCTCCGGGCTGCCTCGGTCTTCCACCGCCACGCCAGGCGGTGCACGGCGATAATCCGCCAGAGTGCACAGAGGAGGGCCGGCAACGCAGGACCTCAGAGCAAGTGTCCAACGCCCCAGGGGAGGCCTCGGAGAAGTCCCCGGGAGCAAGGCAAGTGGCCCCGTAGTTCCTTCTCACCCCACTGTGGCCCTGGATCCTGCGCCCAGCTCGGGCTTCTAACCCCGCGGCCTGGCAAGAGTCAGAGGACTCACCGAGCGACGCCATCTTGCAGTCCCGGTGTCCGCAAAGCCCAGCCTTGCGCGAGGGCTGCTGGGAGCACGGGCTCACCGGAAGTAGGTCACCCGTTGGGTAGAACGTGGAACGCGAGGGTGCATGGAAGGGGCCTGCAGCTCTTGGAGAATAAAGTCCCCGCGGACCCTGCACCTTGGGATCAAACGGAAGAAAAAAAGGACAAAAGGGAAAGAGGACATTCTGGCTTTTTGTCCTCTGCTTTTGGAGCTATTATGAGAAATGAGTGGTGTAAGGGTTAGGGCTGTGGCTCAATCCCGAGCGCAAGGCTCTGGTTTCATTCCACGCCAAAATGAAAAAAAAAAAAAAGCAGAGAAGTCTTGAAGGCCGGTACATTTCTTGCCCTCCCTAATTCCTTTTACCCGCTATTCACTGGTCTCGAACCCTAAACTGCTCTGCAGTTCTACTCAAGATGGTTAAAGGGTTTCCATGAAGATTGCAGACTGACCAGAAGTTCAGGTTCAAGTGTTGGAGCCGAGGTGAAGGCTACCATATAGCCACAGGCAATTACCTTACCGATAATTCCCAACTTTTAACAGCCTTGGATACAGCAAAACTGTATGAAATAACAGTCAGGTCTACAGAGCTAGTTCCAGGACAGGCTCCAAAGCCACAGAGAAACCCTGTCTCGAAAAAACCAAAAAAAAAAAAAAAAAAAAGAAATAACAGTCAGTCTGGCCTTGAAATCAGTTATGTGTTCTAGGCTGGCCTCAAACTTTCTTCCATACAGTTCCTCAGCATCTCAAGCGTCAGGATTACAGGTGTGCACTGCCTGTATAAACAGACACGACTGCTCCATGGTATGATTAAAGTGGAGATGTTTTTTGTTTTTTATGTGTATGGGTATTGCTTGCATGTATGTCTGTATACCACATGCATGCAGAGCTACTGAGGTTGAAAGCAGGCACTGGAGCCCGTGGAACTGGAATTGTGAGCTATTATGTAGGTGGTGGGAATAATACCTGGGTCTTCTGGAAGAGCAGCAAGTGCTCTTAACCACTGAGCCATCTTCCCAGCCCCATAGGGGGAAGGCTTTTATTGTAGATTTGAGAAAGAGGGAACAGCCAGAGGCATTTAAAGAGTCTAGAGTGGAGAGAGAAATAGACTGAACATGGCCAGGGTTCTTTGTGAGACAGAGGAACGGTGGGGGATAGAAACTAGAGAAAACAGTGACGCCGGGCTCTGGTTGAGCACTCTTTTAATTCCTCGGGAGGCAGAGGCGGATCTCTGAATCCGAGGCCAGCCTGATCTACAGAGTGGGGACAGCCAGGGCTTACATAGAGAAACCCAGTTTCAAAAAGAGAAACAGGAACAGAGGCTAGAGAGAAAACATGGAGAAGAGTGGGGTTATAAACAATGAATAAATAGCTGGGGGAAGGGAAGCCAGGGAACTGAAGGGAGTTTAGTAGAGAGAAGGTGAAGAGTCAGGATGCTATAGCACGGACTTGGAAATGTGTAACAAGTGCTTGTGATACTGAGGGAGCCTGGAGGCCAGAATGCACTTTGGCATGTTGATAGACATCATAGGTGACCAGACTTCTCTTTTGCCAGAGATAAGGGAAGTGACTTCTTTTAGCAGAGGGATACGGGCTTCACAGGTTCCTTAGGAATGCTGCTTTATCTAACTGCCAGAAATTCTATTGTCCAGGTTGAGTTCATTTCTGGATATTTGGACTGCCTTTTGGAGTTTGGTGGGGAAACCATTAGGGAAAAAAGAACTGTTCCAGGCAAAATGTACTGCACTAAGCAAGACTTACTGGGTGGTTGTTAGGATAGCACGAGGCTGTTTCTACTGAGACAAGGAGTCAGCAGACTTCTGAAAACTATAGACTGTTCAGTTACCGAAGAGGCTGAATCCCACAACAGTCATCCATCTTGGTGTCTTAAGTGACTCCATCTTGGGCCAAAGATCGGCACCAACCTAACACCTCTTGTGTCAACTTTCCCAAGTGCTGGCATTATAGGTGTGTACCACCAGACTTTTGAGTCTGCCTGTATTTAGAGTAGGGTAGCAGGTTCTCTTTTTTTGTAAACCAGGCTGGCCTCAAACTCAGATATCCACCTGCCTCTGCCTCCTGAGTGCTGGGATTAAAAGCTTATGCCACCACCGCCCAGTTTATGATGTTTCTCTGCTTATTTTTTGTCTGTAAAAGCATGTAGTAAGGGGGACTGGAGCGTTGTCTCAGTGGTTAAGAGCACTGCCTGCTCTTCCAAAGGTCCTGAGTTCAATTCCCAGCAACCACATGGTGGCTCACAACCATCTGTAATGAGGTCTGGCGCCCTCTTCTGGCCTGCAGGCATACACACAGACAGACTATTGTATACATAATAATAAAAAACTATTTTAAAAAAGCATGTATTAAGGTTCAAGCCAAGCTTGGTAGTACATGTCTTTAATCCCAGCACTTGGAAGGTAGATGGAGGAGAATCTTTGAGTTCTAGGCCAGCCAGGTCCTCATAGTGTGTTCCAGGACGGCCAGAGCTACACAATGGAATCCTATCTCAAAAAACAGACAAAATTTTTCAAATCAGACCCAATGTCTCTTGTGTGAGAGGCCTAAGGAAATCTATGAATGACTAAAATGTTCCAAATGACAAAGAATGTAGTTTTCGGACAAAGAAACAACTGAAGAATCAAAACACAAGTCATGCTGGGCATGGTGGTGCACACCTTTAATCTCAGCACTCAGGAGATGGAGGCGGAGGCAGGTTGGTCTCCACATTTGAGGCCAGCCTGCTTTATATAGCTTCTTCCAGGTCAGCCAGGGCTGCACAGTGAGACCTTTTCTCAAAAATAGCAGCAACAGCAAAAACACCCACAAGTCACACAGAGACACATGAAAGCTAGACTATGGTTTGGTGAATTCTCTGGTGTCGGACAAGGTGTGTACTCTGTCTAAATCTTTCACCACACTGAAGACATTTATAAGGTTTTTCTCCCGTGTGAGTTCTCTGGTGTTTAATGAGGGTTGCACTCTGAGTGAAGCTTTTCCCACAGACAAAACACACATAGGGCTTCTCTCCCGTGTGGATTCTCTGATGCTTAAAGAGGTCTGAGCGCTGTTTGAAGCTCTTCTGGCAGTCCTCACACTTGTATGGTCTCTCCCCTTTATGGAGTCTCTGATGTCTACAAAGGCTAGAGATATGAAAGACCTCCCCACACTCCTCACATTTACAGTACTTCTCGCTGGCATGGGTCCTCTGATGCCGAGTGAGGTGCGAGCTCTGCCTGAAGCATTCCCCGCACTCTGGGCAGGCATACGGCTTCTCACCTGTGTGTGTCCGCTGGTGTTTAACAAGGGCAGCACTCTGGCTGAAGCTTTTCCCACATGTTTGGCACTGATAGGGCTTCTCACCTGTGTGGGTCCTCTGGTGTTTAAAAAGATCTGAGCACTGTCTGAACCTCTTCTCACAGCTGTCACACTTGTAGGGTTTGTCCTCACGGAGCCCCAAACTACTGTCAACAGAGTTGTGAGGTTTTGCTGTACAGCATTTCACACGGAAGCCTTGTTTGTGGTCACTCCCGTGTGCACCAGTGGCACTGAGACTCTTTGCTGTCTGGATGTGCTGACCAAGGCCAAGGCTGGCACTGTTCCCAAATTCGTGACTCTCAGAAACCCCTTCCTTGGACACACCGACGAGAGGAGGGATGGCAGTGCGTCCTTGCTCTTCAGGAGAACACTGGAGATGCAACAATACAGTGTCTTTCGGCAGCTTTTCTTCCCAGTCCTCAACGGCATCAGCACACTTGGTAAATAGTGGGACCTTTCCCTGGGACACTTCTTGCACCCATGCCTGTGATTCTGCTTCCTTTAAAGTTTCTTGCTTTGGAATCCAGTCTGTGCTTGAAGCTCTGGTTTCCAAGCCTGAAACATGAAAACATAAGCTGCTGTTATCTCTCGCCTGTGTCACAGGGAAATAGAAATGCTGGTAAAGGAAGCACCTCTAACCCACTTCTAAGTGGTCCTCCCCACCTCCTTGGATGAAACTGAATGAGCCCATCAGGGGCATCTACTTTGGCTGTACAGGCAAATACCCTGCCTTCCTTTTGTACTTTCGCCTACAGATACCAAGCCATTCTTCCCTGGTCCCACTGCATTGCTACAGACTGTATACTAAGAAGAGGTAGAACTGCAAAAAAATGTCAGGGCAGGCTGTTGCCTTTATTCCATGAATATGGGATGGATTAACGCAAGAAAGGCTCTCCATGGTGAGCTACAATGAACATCGGTGGTAATTCCGAAGTCTTGAAGGCAAGGTCTCAGTGGGAAGGCAATCTAGGATTAGTTGAAGGTCTATAAAAATTGTCCTCTGGCCAGGTAGTAGTGGCGTAGGCCTTTAATCCCAGCACTCGGGAGACAGAGGCAGGCGGATCTCTTGAGTTCGAGGCCAGCCTGGTCTACAAGAGCTAGTTTCCAGGACAAGCTCCAAAAGCTACAGAGAAAATCTGTCTCAAAAAAAAAAAAAAAAAAAAAAAAAACCTGTCTTCTGGCCTCTACACATACACCCATACTATACACATGTTTGCTCTCACAACCCCATAAAAATGGGGAGGGTACATCAGATCCCACCTGTAGCTGAGGAGCTACTGGTAACTAATCACTGCCGGAGGAAGCCAGAGTGATTTTTCTTCAAGAATGTAGCCACTGTTTTTTTGTTTGTTTGTTTGTTTGTTTTGTTTTGGGTTTTGTTTTTGTTTTTTTTTTTTTGTGTGTGTGTGTGGCTTTTCGAGACAGGGTTTCTCTGTGTAGCTTTGGAGCCTGTCCTGGAACTAGCTCTTGTAGACCAGCCTGGCCTCAAACTCACAGAGATCCACCTGTTTCTGCCTCCCGAGTGCTGGAATTAAAGGCGTGCGCCGCCACCGCCCAGCATGAATGTAGCCATTGTTAAGTTGACCATGCTCTAATAAATAAACCCACACTCATGCACATGAAAACCCAAATTAAAATAAACACCACAAACTTGAATGTAGGAGGGGGCACTTTGGGAAGGTTTCCAAAGAGAGTGGGAAGAGGAGAGGAATGTAAAGAACATGCTGGGAAAAACAAGGGTTCCAGAGAGTAGGATAGGAATGGGGCATTCTGGGAAGAAGGGTTTCAGAGCAAGTGGGAAAGGGTAAGACAGGAATGGAAGTCGATTCTGATCAAAGTACATTAGATGTATGTATGAAATTATCAAAGAACAAGTACAAAATTATTAGAGGCCAGGTGGAGTGGCACACATTCATAATTCTGGCACTTGGAAGGCAAAGCAGGAAGATCTCTGTGAGTTCAACTAGTCTGGTCTACGTAGTGAGTTCCAAGCCAACCAGAGTTACATAGTGAGACCCTGTCTCAAAAACCCAACAACAAAATATTCAAAACAAACACATGCACACAAAATAAAATACAGACAAACCTTGTGTAGGTCACAAAAGAAATCCTAAGGCTCTTAACCCATGTTTGTGAATGGCAAACTAGCTCACAGATCATAGAAAACTCAGCTATTAATCCTGACAACAGCCTATGAAAGAAAAGCCTCAATTGAGGAACCAGGCAAATCAGATTGGCCTGTGGGCTCTCTGTGGGGAACTACTTTGATTCTTAATTGATGTAGGAGGGCCAACCCACTGTGGGAGGTACCATTCCTAAGCAAGATGGTTTTGAACTATGTAAAAAAGCTACGTGATGGGGATGATGAGACAACTCAGTGGGTAGAAGCACCTGACAGCTGGTTTGATGATCCTCAGTATACACATGGTGGAAGGAAAAAACTTGCTCCTACAAGTTGTTTTCTGATCTACACACACAACACATAAATAAAAGATTTAAAAGAAAACTTAACTGCTGCAAAAAAAAGAAGAAGAAAGAAAGAAAGAAAGAAAGAGAGAGAGAAGGCAGGAAGGAGGGAGGGAGGGAGGGAGGGCGGGCAGGCAGGCGGGCAGTGATGGCGCACACCTTTAATCTCAGTACTTGGGAGGCAGAGATAGGTGGATCTCTATGAATTCCAGGACAGGCTCCAATGCTACAGACAAACCGTCTCAAAAAAAAAAAAAAAATCAAAATCAAAAACAACAACAACAACAAAAAACCCAAAAACAAACAAAAAATGCTAGCTGAAGCTAAGCCAGCTGCAAACAGCATCCTTCCCCATTCTTGCTATTCTGCACTGGCTGTGAAATAATGAGTTCCTCAGTCAGAGGCAAGGCTGTGGGAACTAGCAAGGGGGGTCTGCTTTCAGATTCCTGCCTTGACTTGTCTCAATGATGAACTGTGACCTGGTCTTGAGAGTCAAATAAGCCCTTTCTCCCCCTAAGATGCTTCTGGTCAGAATGTTTTCTCACAGCAACTGGTAGGAAACTGGAGCAGCCACCCTACAAGCCACACAACTCGTCAGAGAACAGCACGTACCAGGCAGAACTGTGCCGTCACGATCCTTCGTGCTCTCTCTGCAGAAACTCTTCCGAGCTGCGGCCAGCTGCTCCCACTCTTCCCAGGTCAGAGAGTCGGCCATATCCTTGTAAGTCACAAAGCCCTAGAACAAACAGCACAAGATCTCCCGTTCAGCACTTGCTGTCACTGCGAACACTTCATTACTCTAAGGGAAAGCCAGTCTTTTTTTTTTAATATTTATTTATTTATTATGTATACAATATTCTGTCTGCTTGTATGTCTGCAGGCCAGAAGAGGGTACCAGACCTCATTACAGATGGTTGTGAGCCACCATGTGGTTGCTGGGAATTGAACTCAGGACCTTTGGAAGAGCAGGCAATGCTCTTAACCACTGAGCCATCTCTCCAGCCCCGGGAAAGCCAGTCTTTAGGGAGTAAGGAGCTAGTGTGAGAGTCAAGGAACAGCCACAGATGCGGAGTACCAAAGGGACCTGCTACTGATCACCTTCATTGTCAGTCTGACTGGACTTAGAATCACCCAAAACTAAGCTTCTGGACTTACCTGTGCAACATTTCCAGACAGATTTGACTGTGGGGGGAAGGCCAACCCTCGATAAGCTGATGCACTGGACTGAATGAAGGGAAAGGTGGCGAGGGAAATCAGCACTCACCTCCTTCTGCCTGCTAACTGTGAAGCCTGGTTACCAGCTACACCCTCTGCTACACCTTCCTGACTTCAGACTGTGATATTCTTAAATCTTTACCCAAATAAGCCCTCCCCTCAAGCTGATCCTGTCACAGCAGTGAGAAGAGTCACCATTCTCACTAGAGGGTCACAACCTCCTATAATCACGAAAAGATTTTCTGTGGATCATCTATGACAATTTGGGGAAGACACAAGCAAAATATTTTAGTTCTATCACTGTGACTTACAAAATGGACACTGGGGCTGGGATGTGGCTCAGTTCAAGAGCACTGGGCTGGCATGCACAGAGCTGAGTCCAACCCCAACATCACAGAAGCCAGCTGTGGCCGCAAACACTTGTAATCCCAGAACTCCATAGGTGGAGGCAGGGGGATCAGAAATGTTAGGGTCATCTTTTCTCTACATAGGGAGTTGTTCAGGCCAGCCTGGGCTACATGAGAATATGTCTCAATTTTCAGGTGGGGAGAGAAGAGACGTCTTAGGCGGAGGATGCGGATGCAGGGGCGTGTCCCTGGGAGCTTCAGCTCCTTAATCCTGACCCTTTTCTGCATCCCTACTCTGCTTCCTCGCTGCCAGGAAGCAAACATACCTGCTCCAGCATACTCTTCTGTAATGGTGCTCTGCCATACCCCAAGCCCAGAAACAATGAATTCCGCCGACCATGGACTATTAAATCCCAATGGATCTTGTGTTCCTTACGTTGTTTTAGGTATCTATCATAGCGACAAACTAAACACACTATGTATACATGTACAAGGCTAACACATGTATGCTTATATAGGCTGAGTTCCCTCTATCTAAAATGCTTGTGAGCAAAACTGTTCACAATGTCAGAATACCTCAGTTCAGCCAGGGATGAAATTAGTGATCCAGCATTTTCCTAATCCGAGATCCCAAAACTCTGAAGTGCTTGAGTGTTTGTCACCGACAATGAAATATAAGCCCAAATGTCTATAGTGCAGAGGAGGAAAAATTGCCTCTGAAATGGCTAAATCATGAAATGACATTTTGGGGGGAAGGACCTGGAAAATGTTTCAGTATTAACTTTTGAGGGACTGGGTTAAATTTTCAGGGTTTTTCAGAAGTTAAGTGCTTCCTGTTCTCCCAGGGCGACTGACCTGAGTCCAGCTGCCAGCACCTACACGGGGCAGCTCACAATAGTCTGTGTCCCCGGTTCCTGGGACCTAACGCCTTCTTCTGTGTTCCTTAGGCACACACATACACGTGGCACACATTCACACGCACAGTCACGTAAACAAAAACGCAAAAAAAAAAAAACGCAGGGCAGTGGTGGTGCACACCTTTAATCCCAGCACTCGGGAGGCAGAGGCAGGCGGATCTCTGTGAGTTCGAGACCAGCCTGGTCTACAAGAGCTAGTTCCAGGACGGGCTCCAAAGCCACAGAAAAACCCTGTCTTGAAAAACAAAAAGAGTCTTTTCACACTGACCATGATTGTGAATTGTATCCCAAAAGGCACGAGCAAGCTTAGTTTCAACGAGCTAGGCATCGCTGTGCACACCTTTAATCCCTGAACTTTGGAGGTGGAGTCAAGTGGATCTCTGTGAGTTCAAGACCAGTCTGGTCTATACAATGAGTTCAGGTCAGTTAGGGCTACACAGTGACTTAAAAAAAAAAAATAGGGCTGGAGAGATGGCTCTGAGGTTAAGAGCATTGCCTGCGCGCATTGCCTGCTCTTCCAAAGGTCCTGAGTTCAATTCCCAGCAACCACATGGTGGCTCACAACCATCTGTAATGAGGTCTGGTGCCCTCTTCTGGCCTGCAGGCACACACAGACAGAATATTGTATACAGGGGGCTGGAGAGATGGCTCAGTGGTTAAGAGCATTGCCTGCTCTTCCAAAGGTCCTGAGTTCAATTCCCAGCAACCACATGGTGGCTCACAACCATCTGTAATGAGGTCTGGTGCCCTCTTCTGGCTTGCAGACATACACACAGACAGAATATTGTATACATAATAAATAAATAAATAAATATTAAAAAAAAAGAATATTGTATACATAATAAATAAATAAATATTAAAAAAAATAAGAAAAATTTTCACAATCAGTAGTGTCAGGAGTATTACTCTATTTTTCCAAGGTGTCTTCCCACGGACTTAACATATTCTGATATATGAGCCTATAGATGTCACTCACACACGCGATTAAAAATGCCCAGAAGGCATTCAGAGCCCCTGAAACTAGAGTTGCAGGAGGTGGTGAGCCACCCTACGTGGGTGCTGGGAACTGAACTCATCCTCTGGAAGAGCCTCACAGGATCTTAAACGCTGAAACCATTTCTCTGGCGTCACCCAGAGCTCACCCGCATCTCACCTGTGGGGAGGCCCGGTCCAGTGCTCTTTGTAGAGTCCGCACCAACACCGCAGCCTCCTCCCCGCTCTCAGGGCAGAGGTCCCGCACGCAAGCCTGGAGCTCCTGCGGCAGGATGGTGAGGAACTGCTCCAGCACCAGCAGCTCCAGGATCTGCTCCTTGGAGCGCAGCTCCGGCCTCAGCCACCGCCGACAGAGCTCCCAGAGTCGGCTCAGCGCCTCTTCGGGTCCCGCCACTTCCTGGTAGCGCAACTGCCTGAACTGTTTTCGAGAAGTTTCGGGGTTCTGACAATCCCAGGGTCCGGAGGGCTTCTGATTTCCGGGTGAGTCCTCCTCCACTTTCACGGTACAAAGCTCGGCACCGAGCGGTGGCGCGGAGACCCCGGCACCCGTATCCATTGGAGTCTCTGGACCGTCCAGCTCGAACTTGTTTCTAGAAGGGCAAAACGTGGAGTACTGCCACTCTCTTCCACAAACGAGGCCCCAAAATAGCCCCTACCGACACAACAGACCCGCTAGCATGGCCTTTAGGTCTCACTTTAACTGGTGAAAGGGAGAAAAACAAACCCAGCCGGAAGTGCGTCATTATCCCCCGTGCAGTGGACGGACTTGTATTCCCAAGGTCTCTCTAAGCACCCTGGAGGACTAAGATGCATCTCGGTGGTTCGCCTTCCTATTTGCACTGGAGAGGCCACGGTCTAAAAAAAAAAAAAAAAAGTTGGGGAGTGGCGGGCGGGCGGGGGGCGGAGCCAGAAGGTGGTGGCAGCGCATGCCTGTAGCACTTGGAGGCAGAGGCAGGAGAATCTATGAGTTCGAGGCCAGCCTGGTCTACAGAGAGCGACCCAGAACAGCCAGGGCTACACAGAGAAATCCCATCTCAAACCAAAAACAAAATCAAAAAAGCAGAACAGAACAAAACAAAAACCAAAGAAACAAAAATAAAAAAGTAAAACGGGGGCTACACAGAGAAATCCTGTCTCAAAACAGAAACAAATAAAAGGGGGCTAGAGAGATGGCTCAGAGGTTAAGAGCACTAGGTGCTCTTATAGAAGATCTGGGCTCAGTTCTCGGCACCCACAACATGGTGCAGACTTAATAGTTGCTACCGGGCGGAGGTGGTACAAGCCTGTAATCCCAGAACTCAGGAGACAGAGGCAGGCGGATCTCTGTGGATTCAGCTTCAGCCTAGCATACATAGTGAGTTCCAGGACAGCCAGAGCTACATAGTGAGAGTATTTCACTATGGGGGTGGCGGGTGTGGTGGAATGGCGTGAGTGGGAGTAACATCTCTAATACACATTGTATGCACTGCAAACAGAGGCCAGAAGAGGGCACCAGATACCCAGGAATTAGAGTTACCGAAGGTTGCTAGCCATGAGAGTTTGGGGAATCGGATCCAGATCATTTGACAAGAGCAGCAAATGTTCCTAACCACTGAACCATTTCTCCAGCGCCTTATAACTCTTTATTTTATTCCCCATCTCCTTGGTGCTGAAGATGGAACTCAGGGATTTCAGAATCTCACCCTCCCTGAGAGACGCCCGCCCTGCTGTTCTACAGCATTGGGGTCTTTATTCTCTAGGTCTTCAGCTATTTGCAGAGGTTGCAATTCCACAGTAGTCTGTTTCAGTATGACCCTAGGAGTGACGACAGGAACTTTGATACTGCCTGTCGGTGGAAAGTGATCAAAACACAAGAGGAATAGATTATTAAATAAAGATAGGCATTTACGGTTAAGGGTAACCGGATTTAACAAAACTCCCCTTTTCTAAAGTGTGGTTTCTCCCCAGACAGCAGGCCGCCAGGCTCCTGGTATAATCTTAACTTTGCTGCATCTATTATTATTATTATTACTTTTTTAAAAGTCTGGTCAAGTTTAGTAGTGAGAAGAGAGCAAAGTGTGATCAATTGAAATACCCCCTACCTTCGGAATAGATCTCCTGTTGTCCTTTTTTTGTTTGTTTGTTTTTGTTTTTCGAGACAGCGTTTCTCCGCAGCTTTGGTGCCTGTCCTGGAACTAGCCCTTGTAGACCAGGCTGGCCTCGAACTCACAGAGTTCCGCCTGCCTCTGCCTCCCGGAATTAAAGGCGTGAGCCACCACCACCTGGTTCCGGTTGCCTTTTAACATTTAAAAAAAAAAAATTAATTTTCCTGATGCCAGCGCGGGGTGAGGGGCCATACACGACGACTTTGACTTCCATGACATTTGGATATCTCGAACCCAGGGATGGATCTCATGTCATCAGGCTTGGCAATAAGATAAATGTCAGTGAGCCGTCCAGTCCACTTGGTGCATCATCTTAATAAACCCTGGAGACCGAGGTGAGCGGCAGCCTTATTGGCAAGACTGTGTTGCTCTCGCGCGGCTTCTTGGGAGATGTAGTCCTGTGAGCCTCTGGATCGCGCCATTATAGGGCAGTAAAGAATCTCTTTGGGTAAGTTTGGAAAAATTCTATCACAAGGCAATGATAGAATTCAAAGGGTTATGAGCTGGCAACAAGGTGCAAATCAACTTTAGTTCCTGAGTGTGTGTGGTGGGGAAGTTGTTCTCGACCAATCAGACGCGAAAGAGTAGGGGCCCGCCCCTGAGACCCGCCCTCTAACCTTAGTGGCAGGGGAGGAGCAAAGCGCAAACTGGTTTTTAGGATGGAAAATATATAATAGAGCTATTTTCCTTTGGCTCTAGTAACCTCTTACTTGAAGCTTGCTGATTGGTCAGCCCCCGTAAAGGGGCGGGTGCAGAAGTAGCTCCTCCCTCCCGCTGCGCTGCTAGGACCTCCGGGATTCCTAGAGCGGCTGCGGAAGCGCTCTTGGGGGTGGGATTTATGGCTAAAGCTCGCACTTGGTTACTTCCGGCGAGGAACTGTTGGAAAGTGTCGGACGCGGTTCTCCCTTGGCTTGTGAGAACTCCATCTTCCAAGCCTGGGCTGCGGGGAGTTTACTCTTTGAGTCCCCGGGACTTAGGGACTGGAGAGGAGCGAGTAGGGCATTGTGTCCACACTGGGGTCCTGTCCCTAACCTTGACCCGTCCGGTCTCTGTCTCAGGGGTCAGGAGCTAGTCTAAGGAATCCAGATCCAAATTTCTGTCTACGACCGTGCTTTCTCCTAGAACTAATGAAGTCTTCCGTTCACCTATCAAGCCCTTATGGCTTGAAAGCCAGGACCAGATATGACCATTTTAATGGGTTTCACTCCTATTCCGACTTAAGTTTGGCTTATGATAGAGAGAAGAAACGACTCTGTCTGGAATAATCTAGTCCTGTTATTAATATGAGATGTGTGCTTTCTCATTTCTAAAATTGTGTTTTACGTTGGGCTTGACATCACTTTTTTGTGGTCGTTTATTTGCGTTTTTAAAATCTGGACGTAGTTACTATTAGTAATTTTGTGGGTAAAGTGATAACTGACTTGTAGTCGGTATCTTTATTGAGTGGTTTTCTTTAGTATAGATGACGTCTTTGCCACCTCTCTTGACTAATAATAATTCCCGACATAGCAGTAAGGTTGTTGACTGCAAAAAGTGCCCTTCAGAAGAGCAGAGAACGAATTGGGTCAGTGTAACGGGTAGCCTCTAGAGACTCTGAGTAGTAATGATAATGACAGAATCCAAGAAAGTTACACACTTAGAGCCTCCAGCTGAGACTTCTTCTCAAGAGCAAGCTGATCTTCTCATAGTGAAAGTGGAAGAAGAGGACTGCTCCTGGATGCAGGCATACAACCGGCCAGTGTTTGAGACTTTTTACCAACGCTTCAAGCACTTCCAGTACCATGAGGCAACAGGACCACGGGATGCTCTCAGCCAGCTCCGGGTACTGTGCTGTGAATGGCTGAGGCCGGAACTGCACACCAAGGAGCAGATCCTAGAGCTGCTAGTGCTGGAGCAGTTCCTCACCATCCTGCCTGAAGAGTTCCAGGCCTGGGTGAGAGAACATCACCCCGAGAGCGGAGAAGAAGCCGTGGCTGTGATCGAGAGTATCCAGAAAGAGCTAGAGGAGCGCCGGCAACAGGTGCGTGGGAGAGGTGCAGTGAGGGGGGAACTGAGCGCTGAGGAGCTGCCAAGCTGTCTTAGCCCTCTGGTGCTTCCGTCGATCACATTCTGATCTTGCTGTTGTTGCTTTAAATGGTCTATGTATCCTTGGGTATTCTGGATTTCCCTTTGTAGACCCGAGTGGACTCCAACTGACAAAGGTCTACCTGCTTCTGCCTCACAAGTGCTGGGATTAAACGCATGTTCCATGAGTTTTATAGAATATTGTGTTTCTTCTTTTTCCTCTCCTCTTCTTCTTTTTGCAAATTATGCTTGTGTTTCTTATGTGCATTTCTTACCTGTTAGAAACAATAGGCATTCGCCTACCATGTGATTGGCCTGTGCTAGTTTTCCAGTTTATCGTCATGGAATCCATTGTATTTAGAGATGAACCAGTGTAATTCTTACATCCTGGTTTCTGGAATTCCTGCTTTAGAAGACTTTCTTGACTGCAGTTTATGAAAACCTTTTCTCAGTCCTTATTTATTTATTTATAAAAAGAATCCATTTCATTTTATGTGCTTTGGTATGAAGGTGTCAGATCCCCTGGAACCGGAGTTACAGACACATGGGTGCTGGAAATTGAACCCAGGTCCTCTGGAGGAGCAGCCAGTGCCCTTAACCTCTGAGCTGTCTCTGCAGCCCCTTCAGTACTTTTTTAAATTTGCGCTTTTTTTTTTGCCACCCGAAATTATTATAGGGAGAGAGACCCTGCCTCAGAAATAAAATGCTGTCTTTATCACTTGTTAAATTTCCGCCTGTTCGAGGCATTTGTTTCTGATGTTTGTATTCTAGTTTGTTGATCCTATTGGCTGTTTCTGGACCTGCTGTAAAGTTATTTGAGGTATAAACAGTTTTGGCATTTCCTTCCCTCTGCTTTTCCTTTCAGTATTTTCTCCTTATGAATTTAGAGCTCGATTTGGTGGGACATTCCTTTAATCCTAGCACTTGGGAAGCTGAGACAGGAGGAAGGCCCTGTCTAAAAACAAACAGAACAGAAGCCTGTGGGTTTGGAAGACAGCGAAGGTTGCTTGAGGGTCACACTCATTCCTCAGAGTGTCTGTGTCTAAATGGAAGGTGCTGACCTCATCATTTGCACTCTGAGGGTGAGGGGTACTCCAGAGTTCCAGACGGTTCTAGACTTTCGGTCTGCTTTTGCTCACCTTGTGACTCAGATAGCAAGGGGAAGGGGGGTGGCTGATCTTATTGCCGTCCAGAATTTCTAGGATGAAGTTGTGCCTTGGAGAAGGATAATTATATACTTACACCCTAGGTTGGATTGAGGGCTGAGAGCAGGATAGTAGAAGCTGGTATCACGCTGGACATGAACTAGCTTAATTCTTTTTTTTAACCTACCTTTCTTTCTTTCTTTCTTTCGGTTTTTCGAGACAAGGTTTCTCTGTGTAACAGTCCTGGCTGTTCTGGAACTTGTTCTGTAGACCAGGCTGGCCTCAAACTCATAGAAATCTGCCTGCCTCTGCCTCCCAAGTTCTGGGATTAAAGGTGTGCGCTACTTTACAGCTAGTTTAAGTCTTTTTTTAAAAAATATTTATTTATTTATTTATTTAACCTGCATGCTTGCACACACACACATCAGAAGAGGGCACCAGATCTCACTATAGATGGTTATGAGCCACCATGTGGTTGCTGGGAATTGAACTCGGGACCTCTGGAAGAGCAGCCTGTGCTCCTAATCACTGATCCATCTCTCCAACCCTAGTTTAAGTCTTTTTTGAGGCAGGGTGTAGCCTGGTTTAGCTAAGACCTTGCTGCAGCCTTCCTGTTTTCTGCCTCCTGAGTGCTAGAATTGCAGGCATATGGGACATAAACTAACTTAAATCTTAGTCTGACCAGCAGTGGCTTCCTGAGTCTCGTAATGACCTTTTCATCCTCCCTTTTCTTCTCCCGTCTTTACCTTTATCCCCCCTCTTGGCGTCTTAGGGCTCCTGGGTTGGATCAAATACCCTATTTTGCATCAGAGAAAGTTTGGAACCCTCTCTGTCCCTGGGTTTCTTCTCCCCCTTTGCCTTTGGCTGCCTTCTCTTTAAAAATAATTATTTAAAAATTTTTGTGTGTGTACGTGCATGTATGCACAAGTGTGTTGGTACCCTCAGAAGCCAGAAGAGGATACTGGATTCCCTGGAACTGGAGATACAGATGGTTGTGAGCCACCAAGTGCTGGGAACTGAACCTGGGTCCTCTGGAAGAGAAGCCAGTGCTCTTGACCTCTGGGCCATCTCTGCAGCCCCTCCTTTAATCTTTCAGGTGTTACAGAGTGACACCAACCTTCCCTAGCCTCTCCTGCTAAAGCGGGTCTCATCTGTTCTGTCCTGTAGTTGTGTTTCTTTCCCATCTAACATGGAGTTCATAATTGTGTATTTGCATATGGTTATGTCGCATGGAAGTCATTTCCTAGTAGAAGTAATCCATGTTTGTTAACCTGCTATTTAATCAGAGCCTGGCTCCTTTAGACACAAGTTCGATACTGGGCAAGGGGACAGACAGGTGACAGTCTAATGGACTCTAACGGGTTCTTTCCCATTCCCGTCTATGATTTTGCTGATTGTTTGTACTTGTGGTTGTTAGGTTGTCACATGTCCTGAAGTGCTTTCTCAGAAGATGGTACCACCCGGAGCCATGCAGGAGCCCTTCAGTCACCGGTTTCTGCCCGTGGAGGCCCAGTCTAATCAAGAGTCACGGAATCTTCTGGAGGAAAACGGTGAGGCTTATCATTTCAGTGCAGCCAATGTGACTAGAACATGGGGGCTCTGGTCACATGGGCAAAAGAGGGCCTAGTAGAGTTCGGGCGGGCGACTCCCTTGAGAGAGGGACAGCCTTTTGGATTACTGAGACTGTATCACACTTTCGCTCAAAATCCATGAACTGGGGATGTGGTTCAGTAACAGACGTTTGCCTAGCATGCATGGAGCTCTGGGTTCTGTCCCCAGGACCACATGAACCAGGAGTGGAACACCCTGTGATCCAGCACAGGAGGCAGAGGCAGGAGAATCGTCAGGGTCATCCTGGCTACAGAGCAGGTTTGTCGTGGACCTCTTAAGACCCTGTCTCAGAAACAAGTAAGCACAACTAAGGAAAACATAATAGAGACAGGACACGCATAGCACAGCAGTGGAGTGTTTCTTTAGTAAGAGCAAAATTCTGGGTGCCATTCCCAGACCTTCCTCCAAAAGCAGAAATATGGCAAAAATGATGATGGAGACTTGCGGGGGTATTCTGTGTTGCATAGGTCAGTCAGAGAAAGAGGTCCCTCCAAGAAGAGATGTTAAGGCCTGTGTGGCAGCAGGAAGGCCCAGCCTCAGAAGAACTGAACCCCGAACAGCCATACAAAGGTGTATTTATTGATTATTACACTAAGTTATTTTTTGGGTAAAGAATTTCCTCATACCAAGGTCTTACCTAATCTGTGTGTCTC